GATAAAATTCCCAAAAAGGAAACAGTGCAAAAACAAAAATAACAGTTTCAAATATATGAACACTCTTTAAGTTTAATAAAAAGTCTAGATTAAAGAAATGGGGATTTGGTCACACCCTTGGGCCATATTGTGCTACGCTCCATAGGACTACAAAACAAAAAGGTATTTGTGACATAAAAAAAATTTCAAGGCTGCTAGAATGATCTAAAGTGAGATTGTGAGGACTTATTCCTGAAAGCTTAATTCCCAAGCACCCTAGTCCAATGATCTCTGGAACAAGGAATGCTCGGTGGCCTAGAGTCTAATGACAGTAGGACTAAAGAGTCCACTAGCTGCTTGATGGGTTATGAAACAATGTGCCTTCATTGTCAACAAGGATTAATACTAAAAGTCAAAACTGCCCAGCACTAGGATTCTGCTCCTCTGTGTTTAGAGTTCAGGATGGAGAAAGATCCTGGGTTGTGGAGAGCTTCATTCTCCCTTGTAGAGCTAGAATGACACCCAGGACAGATCCTATCGCCTGATTAGACAGTCCTCACCACTAGAAGGAACTGTACATGTTCTTGAGACTTAAATGCCAAGAGCTACAAAATTTACATTTCTCATCTTATGTTTTAACAATCAGTACATTGAATAAAATTACTGTCTGATTAATCTGAGCTCACGGCATCCAACTTCGAGTTTACATACCTTCACATCACCTATTAAACCAATGGCTATATGTATTATCATTCTTTTCCAAAGTACAGAGAATAAAAATGCAACATTCCATCCACTGAAATGAAGAGACCTCCCGAAGATTATCTACATCAAGAAAGCTCAAGTGAATGAGGCTCGATGACCTAAAGGCAAACTACTTTTTCAGAAAACTGAAAAGAATGTTTATTTTCAACAACAACAATTTTTTAAATTGTATTATTTATTTAAGATGTTTTATCACCGATATAGGTAGTGCTGTTTATATATTGAATTATTTAGTAATCTGTAACATATGTGAGATAATTATACTATTAATTCTATTTTTACTTTTTTTTTTGTTTACTCTTTAATTGATGCACTCTGTATCTGGAATATATCTTAAGGAAGTTTGTCATAATGGAAAAGACTTAACGATGAACCAAAAAAGGTTAAAATTGACCTTAGCTTTCCTGTTGTCTACCTTTGTAAAGCATTACCGTTATTCAAAAGAAAGCATAACGCTCTGCCTTTGAACACTCCAACAATGTAACAAAAAAGTTGCAATCCACGTGGTTATTATATCTTTTTTTGCATTTCTCATATATCAAACATAAAATAGATTTGATGTTTTGTTTTTGTCCCCAGCATGGCTGAAAGTTTCAATCAAATGACATAAAAGTGTTGGCAGCTCCTTGTGTATCTACATTGTGTGTGTTATTTTACAATAGTTTAAAATGTATTATTTTATTTAGACTGGAGATTTTAGAAAAAAACAATATAGAATATACCACAGGATTGAGGAAAAACAAACAATTCTTAGCAGTTTTAATGTTTTCATCTTTTTTTAAACATTAAAAGGACACAAAACACACACACACACACAGAGTTATATACTCTACCAATAGCTGCAACTCTCTGTTTACTTATTTAGCCATCAATATAAAAGAGCTTACATGGCTATATCTCAGCTTACAGGCAGGGCCCTCTCTACCTTTTGTATTTGTCTGTGCATATTGTATGTTCTCCACTAATTGTACAGTGCTGCGGAATCTGTTGGTGCTTTATAAATACCAGTAATAAATAAATAATACATATGTACCAACGTTAGAATTGCTGCTAATTCAAAGTGGATTTCAAATTTGAGGTCAAAGTAGCCACACTTGAAGCATAGCTGACTAGTTCAGAAATTTGACTATTGTGACCTATAGTTTGAAATTCACTTTAATTCTCTTTGAATTCCAAATGATTCTGACTTTAGTGAGCAACCCAGCTGTATAGACAGCAATGCACTGAGAAAAAGATGGAAATATATATTCTTTAGGTGTAGCATTAGTTCAGTGACCTTTACTTCACATATATTTTTATTAACCCCTTAACGCCGTTACGGCATTCTATGCCGTCGCGGCTTTAAAGGGCCTTAAAGCCGTTGTGGCGGCATAGAATGCCGTAACGGCTTAAGCCCTGGGGAGCTCCAATTTACTTACCTCCGCAGCGATCCTCTTCGGGAGGGCTGCCTGACCGCCCAGGCAGCCCTCCCCCGGCTAATGAGACCCACGGGGGCCATGTGATCGCTCTCAAAGAGCGATCACATGGCCCCCTGTAGCTGGCTATGGATCTGCCAGCAGGGGGACTGTCTGAAATGTGTAAAATAAATTAAATACATATTATATATATATAACGTCATACGTTGTGTATTTTAATACTAATATTAGTATATATATTACTATTAAAATACACTTAGCATGACATTACATATATATTATATGTATATATATTATATATATAATAGATATATACACATATATTATATATATATGTATATACGTATAATTACAATAATAAATAAATAAAATATTAAAATAAATAAAATATTGAAACAAAATTTAATATAAATTATATATTTATATGCAATTTCATTCTAACTGTATTTTGTTATTAATATATATATATATATATATATATATATATATATATATTGGTAACAAAATACACTTAGAATGACATTCTATATATAGCTATCTATATATAAAATACAAATAACCGCAAATATATATATATAGATAAATACATATAATTACATAAAAGATTACATTAGTATACACGTAGAATTTAAATACCTATAAATGCATATATATTAAAATTCTACATGTATATTTAAGTAATCTTTTAACATAATTATGTGATTTGATTAATTAAAATTTGATTGACGGGGGGGCGTGGCTAACCACGGAGCAAGATGGTCGCATAAAACCTCGCTCCGGCACCTGGGCACCTAATCTAATGCGATCCTAGTGTTGTACACAGCATCTGCTGCTACAAAATAGCGATGTCTCACCACAAAGGCAAGAGGAGCTCGGCAAAACCGGACAAGCTCAATTTTTTCAGCAAAAAGCAAACTTCTGCGACAATGGCGGCGCAGGCCTCAAAAGACCACATGGACCCAGAATCGGATGATGGCGCGCAGGCTGATTCCCTGGAATCGACCCCAGACGCATCACAAATAACAAAGGCTGATCTCACAGCAGCTCTGGAAACCCTATCTAACAAACTCATTGCAACATGGCAGCACACAGCAGACTCCATGCGCAAAGATATACAAGAACTAGGAAAGCGGACATCACATATGGAGGACAAATGCGACGAATTCGCCACTGCCCACAATGATCTGGCCACAACGGTAGAACACATGGCAAAAAACATCAACAATCTGGAAGAAAAGTTGGCAGACCTGGAGGATCGCTCGCGTCGAAACAATCTCCGTCTGCGGGGAGTGCCCGAGGATGTCTCCAACGACGAACTGCAGGCATACGTGCGGAACCTACTGCATGCCCACGCACCGGAGATACCAACGGACATGCTACTTGTAGACAGGGTACATCGCCTCTCGAAGCCCCGGCACCTCCCCCAGACGGTACCTAGAGACATATTACTTCGAGCACACTACTTCCATATTAAGGAACACATACTCAGAAGCAGTAGAATGCGGGCTAAACCTCCGCCCGAATACCCCACTGTTCGGATTTATGCAGACCTGTCGGCTGCCACTCTTCGGAAAAGAAGGGAATTCTCCCAAGTGACCAATACACTACGGTCACATGGTATTCGATACAGATGGGGCTTCCCCACTAAATTAATAGTCACAAAAGACGGCGACACGACAGTGCTGAACTCTCCAGAAGAGGGGGTAACGAAACTGCGGGCTTGGGGCATGCCGGCGGAGCCGGCAACAAATACTACACACCAGGCAGGTACACTCAAGCGAGACTGGAAAAAATCCCAGGTTAAACATTGAACCAGCTGACAAACTGGTCTGCGGACACAGACCCTTTTCCACGTACAGACTCTGTAAATTAATGCAACAGACGAGAAATTGGCTGGTCTCCCTCCACTACGGATGAAAAGGAATTTTGGCATGCCTGTAATCAATGGTTGCCCTGTGCGGAGTCCTCACAGTTGTGGGCTACCGGACCGGGACCCTCCGCCACCCCTGTAACGAAGCGTGCGCAGAGCAGTGGTAACTGCGGGGGACCCCGGTCTGGACCTCGACGCAGGACGGCGAGACGCCATCTCCCTCTGACTTATAGAGATCCCCTTTCCTGACCCTAAACAAAAAGACATTTGCATCACCAAGTGCTCGTGATGGCGGGCAAACACGAGGCCTGCATAGGAAGACACCGGTTTCACACGGACTAAACCCTCTGATCGGGGCTAACGAACATTGCCAATTACCAGAGCCATGAGAGGGGCTCCGAGGGCCCTGTAAGGTAACGGGGGGCCTGCCACCTAAGCCTCCTATGAATGTGGACTGTGATAACCGGGGAAAATGTTATGTAGAGCAGATGAATGTAGAAGGGGGGAGGATGCTAGCGGCGGGAATGATGTATGGCCCTCGCTGGGTAAAACTGCTGTCTATACATGTGCCCATACTGGGAGGTATATATAGTAATACGTCAGGTTTCTATACAAACACAGAGTCGAACCAAGCCAGATATGCAACCTCAGCACATAGACAAGGAAAACCCCCTCTGAAAAAACTCACTGGTGGCACATATGGAATGGCCAGCGCCGACTGGGACCATCCTAAACCCGGCCGACGCTGTGTCCATGAAATCTTCGCCAGCTGAGCAAATATGACCAAGCGCATTCCTCACACTACAGCTGCAACACATCAAGGTACACATAGGTGCCCAAATAGCCACGTTTCATGGTAGAGAGTTTTCTCCTCCACCCCTCAATTGTGGTACGACCACACACTGTCTCCACGGGAGACACCCTGTACATAGTTCAAACTCCCTCCCCTAGTTTATCTCCCCCCCCCCAAGATGTCCGTGATCGAATACAAACTTCTAAAAAAGCAAATGAGAATCCCCCCCAATATCGCCACTGGTATGCCCCCATACTACCATACAATAATGGGTCTGACCCCCATTCACCTCCACTATTGACATTAATACTACAACAGCCCCTTCCACGGTACGAAGGGACAGGAAATTTAACACTGAACTTCTGTAACAGCATTGTTCCATACGAACCCAAACATGATGAAGATATTGACTATTAACACCCGAGGCATAAACACACCACACAAAAGGAGGCTCCTCATAGAAGAAGCAAACAGCAACAAAACAGACATACTATGCATACAGGAGACACATTTTATACACAACAGGGTACCCATGTTTGCGAGTTTCACTCCACCTATTCATCCAAATCTAGGGGTGTCTCCTTCCTTATCCACGCCTCAGTCACATTCGAACTCCTGAATCTCAAAAGAGATCCGCAAGGACGCTATTTAATAATGCATTGCAGTATCAATAACGCCTTATATACATTGGTGGGAATATATAGCCCCAATACAGACCAAAGGAACTTTCTTCAGAAAGTTTTACATAAAATTCCCAATACCTACCCATCATCCACAATTGTTTGTGGAGACTTAAACCATGTCATGCAGCCCAGACTAGATACTACACAGCCGGCTGAGTCCTCAAGAAGTAAATCTTTAAACAAACAGGCCACAACATTGCTGACACTCCTCACGGAGCACAATCTATACGATGTGTGGAGAGCACAACACCCGAATGATCGGGAATTCACCTTTTACTCTTCAGTACATAAAACATACTCCAGAATTGATTTTATATTTGTCTCGGGTGACATACTGTCAAACGCCTTCCGAAGTGAGATAGGAGACATAGTCTGGTCTGATCATGCCCCGGTAATGCTGACCTTAACAGACCAATTTCAATCCCGCATAACATCGCCGTGGCGCATGAACGAGGTTCTTCTACATAACCCTAACTTTACCACTAAACTCACTGAAGAAATCACTTCGTTCTTCGCCATAAACGAGACACCTGAAGTCTCTTTAGCCACGATGTGGCTGACACATAAAGCATTTATCCGTGGTCTCATGATCAGCCAAGCATCTTACCTAAACAAACAAGCAAAGACAGAATACGTAACCCTCATGAGACAGCTCAGGGACGAAACATCTACACAAACCCTAAGCCCATCCACCACCACGCAACAGAACATAGACCAAATCAAAAAACGATTAAATGACATTCACCTCCACAAAACAGCCACGATAACCTACAGGCTCAAACTCAGAATGTACACACAGGGAAACAGAGCAGGGAAAGCACTAGCAGCCCTCTAACGACAAAAAAGGCAGAACTCAAAAATCCCCTTCCTCACAAACTCTTTAGGAAACAAGGTGTACAACCCCTGTGACATTAATGATATGTTGGCGGACTATTATGATGCATTATACAATCTAAAAAAGGACGAACATACGCACCAACCACTTCCCTCGGACATCAGCACTTTCCTAGCAGCAACCCACACAACACAACTTACACAAGCAGACAGGTCCTTTTTGGAAGAACCAATTACTCAGAATGAAATAACAAGCACCATTAAAGCACTCCCAAAGGGAAAATCTCCTGGCCCAGATGGCTTTATCAATGCCTACTACAAAGCATTCTCTCACATTCTAGTTCCTATACTAGAAAAACTCTACAATAACATTCTCGAGACAGGCAAAATACCGCAAGAAATGCTGTTGGCCCACATAACCACTCTACCAAAACCTGGGAAGCCACCTTGCAAATGTCAAAATTTAAGGCCCATATCGCTCCTAAACACAGACTTAAAAATACTAGCAAAAATATACGCTAATAGATTGGGAACACTCCTCCCCAGAATAATTCGGGACGACCAAGTGGGCTTTGTGCGGGGCAGACAGGGCTCGGACGGAACCAGGAAACTGGTTAACATTCTCCACAACATCCAGACATCGGGAGAACCTAGTGTGGCTCTGTCGTTAGATGCTGAGAAAGCATTCGACAGGCAACACTGGGGATACCTGGAGGCGGTTTTGAGGAAATTTGCCTTCCCAGAGGGCTTCATCACCTTAATTTCAGCGCTGTATGATAACCCCACAGCAAAAATAGCGAACGGTGGCTTTATTTCCAAGCCATTCCAGGTCTCCAACGGGTCCCGACAAGGATGCCCGCTCTCTCCACTATTATATATATTGGCGTTAGAACCCCTGGCACAATGAATACGGGACTCCCCAAACATTAAAGGGATTACCATAGGAGGGAAAACGCACAAAATCACTCTGTTCGCCGATGATGTGATGCTCACGATATCACATCCTGACACCTCACTACTGCATCTCCAAAATATGCTAACACAGTTTGGCAACTGCTCATATTATAAACTTAATATTAGTAAGACACAAGCCATGGGCCTTAATCTCACTGCGGGGCAACTCACAAACTTACAAAGCAAACACACATACGATTGGAGAAGGGACCACTTGACATTCCTGGGGATCCACCTCACGCCCACAATTAGGAAACTGTATAAAGCGAATTACCTTACATTACTTAGTAATATTAAACACCAACTACACAGCTGGAAAGGGAAATATATATCCTGGACAGGTAGGATAGCGGCAGCAAAAATGATGATACTACCAAAGCTGCAATATTTATTTAGAACACTCCAAATCCAACTACCAAAGAAGTTTTTTACTGAAACCCAACGCCTACTAAATGGGTTCATATGGGGAGGAAAACGCTCTAGAGTAGCAGCAGCTACCATGTATAAACCCTTCAGGGAAGGAGGGATGGGAGCACCAGAAATTATGGGATACTACACAGCGGCTCTAATGGGTACCCTCATGACGACTTTCCACCACACTAGACTACCGCCATGGCATCAAATAGAAATAGCACATATTGGCGGCATGTCATTGTCCACCCTGGCCTGGATCTCCAAACAAAAAAGGCCACGTTACCCAAACGCCTGCCCCACTACGACTGCCACACTTGCGGTGTGGGATAGATATGTTAAAAAACACTACTCCACGCCATATGTCTCTCCTGCACTGCAAATCCAAGCGTTTAATGCCCTAATTCCTGGATTTGACCATGGACTGTGGCATGATCATGGGATCAAGTGCTTATCCCAAATAATGACGGATGGCCACCTGCTGACTTATGAGTCGCTCTCGAACACATTCAATTTGCCACCCAAGGCCTATTTCGCCTACCTACAAATACACTCGTGGGTGGGGAAATACGTTAAGGTGGATAGGACGCACCACCAGGACACTACACTATCTGTGATAGAAAAAATGTGCATAACCAATAAGCAGCCGCAAAAATTGCTATCTTTCCTATACAAAACATTAAAAACCCAGACACCACCAAAAACATTACACTTTGTGCGAGCTTGGGAACGAGAGCTGAACACAGATATGTCAGACGAAGACTGGTCCAAAATCCTATCGGCTCATAAGCACCTAACGCGGAACACATCCCATATAGAAACTAGCAGGAAGGTGTTATACCGATGGTACATGGTACCAACTAGACTCCACAAACACGATAGCCAGAAATCAAAGGCTTGCTGGAGGTGCCTACAAGACCCAGGCACAATGCTCCACATATGGTGGACATGTCCTAAACTAAAACCCTTTTGGGGTGGCATTTCTAATATTATCACGGCATCCACAGGACTTGCCATACCATTCTCCCCAGAAACTTACTTATTACTAGCACTGCCCCAAAAACTGAAAAAAGCGGACCGGTATCTTACTTACCATATCATCATTGCAGCGCTCATGCTCATAAGCAGAATGTGGCTCAATGAAGCAACCCCAGACATTGACAAATGTTTAGCCCAGGTGGAAACTACCAAATCGTATGAAATAGCTGCTAGACAGACGAGGGCAGTTAGTGGAGTTTGGCAAACGGCATGGAGAAAATGGGATGAGTGGCGACAGTCAGCCACGATAAGCAAATAGTCAAGAAGGCTCTAGAAGGGATCAGAGCCACAACAAAACCGATCACCTTTCCCCCCCCCCTCCACACACCCCCCTCCCTCTTTCTCCTACCCCCTACTCCCAGTTCTCTCTTTACATCACGATATGGAACACTGGTTGAGCCTGGATTAGAGGTTGACGAGTTGAGAGATCTAGGCATCGAAGCAGGTTATAGTTATGTAAACACATGTTATGATATTACATTAGTCTCCTCATTGTTAACTTCATGATGTACACTTTACCAAGAAGTATGATAGACTTCTCCTTTATAACCATTGTTCCATCCTCTGTATATGTATATGTGAAACATGTTTCAAGTACTGAAAAACCAATAAAAACTATTACATAAAAAAAAAAAAATTTGATTGACATGCCTGACAACACAGGGAGAAAGTGCAGAGAATTTAATTCGCAAGCACTATATTTGACCCTGTAACTCTCCAAGACACCATAAAACCTGTACATAGGGGGCACTGTTTTACTCGGGAGACTTTGCTGAACTCAAATATTAATGTTTAAAACTGGTATATTGTATTACAATGATTATATTTTAACTAAAATGAAGTTTTTTGCATTTTTTACAAACAAACTGCACTTGTATGGACTATATTATTGTTGTAATATTCTTTACTGTTTTAAAACACTAATATTTGTGTTTAGTGAAGTCTCCCGAGAATAACAGTACCCCCCATGTACAGGTTTTATGGTGTTTTGGAAAGTTAGAGAGTCACATATAAGGCTTGCATTTTGTTTTTTTTACATTTAAATTTGCCAGATTGGTTATGTTGCCTTTGAGAGCGTATGGTAGCCCAGGAATGAGAATTACCCCCATGATGGCATACCATTTGCAAAAGTAGACAACCCAAGGTATTGCAAGTGGGGTATGTCCAGTCTTTCTTAGTAGCCACTTAGTCACAAACACTGGCCAAATATTAGTTTTTTTGCTTTTTTCACACAAAAACAAATATGGATGCTAACATTGACCAGTGTTTGTGACTAAGTGGCTACTAAAAAAGACTAAACATACCCCACTTTCAATACCTTGGGTTGTCTACTTTTTCAAATGGTATGCCATTATGGGGGTAATTCTCATTCGGTACCAAAACGGTAACACTGTCATTCCAAGAATGGCAATCACTTTGGTCTAGATCGAGATTGACATGCGAGGTGGAATGCAAAATGGTGGTTAATGGTGGAATGCACACTGAACAACAGATGAG